GCACCTCTAGGTCTAGACGTGGGACGAGACCACCATTCTTCCAAACACTTTTCCCTTCTCCTGGGAAGAAGGGCTATATAATTGCTTACCTGTTCTGAAATGGCAAGAGGCAGTTGGGCATCGGTTGCCTGAGGGAAGGACAGTTCATTTCTATCGCTGAGCAGGGAATTTCCCCCAGACCTGCTTAGTACCTATTGTTCTAGGGAAGGAAACATCTCACTTGCATAAGGAGCCCTGGGGCCTTCTGACCAGAATGACCAAGATTCCTTCTAATAACTTATCCCTGAAATTCAGTCAGACAACTCTTCTGGAGTAGACTGGGAATGCCCTAAAGTCACCATTAGGATCAGGCAGAGGGTCTTTCAGAATAAAATTACCTTGAGGGAAGGGAGAGATAGAGCTGGTGGTTAGTTGTACTGTGAGCCAAAAAGGAGAAATGGTGTCAGCAATCATCCTGGTCCAGTAGCAGGGAGATGAGTCTAACCCAGGAGAGTACCTCAGAAGATAGGAGTATGTGGGGGAGGTGGCCCTAGGAGTACTGACTTCGCGATGGCCTTGGTCAATATGACAGCTCACTCATAGGCTCGACCTAACTCTGTGCAGTGGCTAGACCCAGGTTACAGTTTCTATGATGCTATAAAGATTGAATTTCCTTCCCTGGGTCCTGGATAATGAACAGGACTCAACTCCACCCCAGAAGCACCCATCTCTACCCCAGTAATCAGCAGACATTCATGGAGCTAGAGAAGGTAGCTAGACTGGACTTCCTGCTAATCTTAGCAAAAGGAGATTCAAGTACCACACTTTTGGATCCTCTGAGCTGGAGTGTAATACATTACACTGTAAAGCCAGAGATCCTCATCATATGCTGCACTGGGTTGAATAGTGTGCACAAAATATTCACGTCCACCTGGAACTTCAGAACGTGAGTTTATTTCAAAGCAGAATGTTTGCAGATGTAATTAATTGAGATGAGTTCAAAGTGGACTGCAAGGATGGGCTAAAATCCAATAATTGGTGTGCTTATAGGTCCTGTGAATAGACATGTGAAGAAAGAGGCAGAGAATGGAGTTCTGCTGCCGTGATCCAAGGATCACTGAGAAAGGCCAAGAGCTACAAGAAGTGAAAAGAGTCAAGGAAGAATCCTTCCCTAGAACTTTCAGAGGGAAGGCTTCAGGCTTCTGACCTCCAGAATTATGACCAGATTGTGGTATTTTGTTTTTGTTTTTGTTTTTAATTTTTTAATATTTATTTTTCAGTTTTTGGCAGACACAACATCTTTGTTTGTATGTGGTGCTGAGGATTGAACCCGGGCTGCCAGGCAAGCGTGCTACCGCTTGAGCTACATCCCTAGCCCCAGATTGTGGTATTTTGTTGTAACATCTCTAGGAAGCTAACACACATGCACCTATAGACCTTAATGTTGAAAAATAGATATGCAGATAGATACATGCTCACACATATATGTTTATTCACTGGAGAGAATTTGCAGAAAAGTGGCATATTACATTTACTACAGGAACATGTATAAGATGTTAATGGTGCTTATTTTTTTTTTAATATTTATTCTTAAGTTTTAGATGGACACAGTATCCTTATTTTACATTTATGTGGTACTGAGGCTCGAACCCAGTGCCTCGTGTATGCTAGGCAAGTGCTCTACCACTGAGCCACAACCCCAGCCCAATAGTGCTTATTTTTAATGGTAGGCTATTGAATGGCTTTCTTTTGTTTCTTCCAAATTTTTCTAATGAGCAATTATTACTTTAATAATCAGATCCAAATTAAGCGTTCACCCAATTGATGCTTCTGACAGATCAATACCAAAATCTGTGAATCTGATGGCTTTCATTCCCATTTGAAAAAATACTTCTATGTGTATTTAACCTGTATTGCCCACCAAAAGTATTTGTCTTTAGTTTTTTAATGTCTTTGCTTAGTTTTCTATTAAAAGATAATCCTCACCAAGTTAAAATACTTTCAAGTTTGCCACGGTTCCATGGGGTTTCTGAATATTTCTCAGTTCTCCCTTTCAACCATGTCAATGTTGAAAACAGTTGGTGGTTCTAGTCTTCTTAGGAATAAATAAAAGCATCCTGATAATGGCATCAAGGAGCCCTTACTATGCACCTAGCCCTCTTTCAAGTGTGCTGCCTATGTTGACCTGTGCTAGGAACCTCCTACAGCTCCAAAATGCCCACTTGGGATGATCCATGAAGCGGTAAACCTGCCTATGAGGTCCTGTTACCCCCCATTTTACAAATGAAGAAACAAAGGCACAGAAAAATCAAGAACTTGCCCAAAAGATCCAGTGCAGGGATTTGAACCCAGCCTTCAAACTCCATACCCCTAAAGATCCTGTACCGTTCTGCCCTGCCCTGCCCCAGTAGGAGAATATGGGAAAGTCCATATAAATATGAGGTGTAACTTTTTCATTAATTTTTTAGGTGTTTATTTAAAATCTACATTATATCCTACAAATAAATGTGATAAAGAGTAAAGGAAGTTTAAAGGGCTCCCCTACATTCCTAGGAAATGAGGGTGGAATTGCTCGTGTATGACTGGTCAACCATTAGGCAAAGTCACGGTCAGAAAATCAAAAGCCTGCAGAGACAGACTGACACAGTGCACAAATCAACAAAGCCTGACTTAGAAACCTCATCCCCTTCCATTCCCCTGAGGCTCAAGTCCAGATGTCCTCACAGACGCCGAGACCCTGCCCACCTTCCCAGTTCTGTGGGCTTTCATTGTGCTTCTGGTACATTTCATCCTTTCTGACACTTCATGGGCCTTTCCTGCACTTGCTGTTCCTCTTCAAAAGCCCTCCCTTCCCCACTGCCTTTGCCAAAGAAGCTCAAATAAAATCCCACTTCCTTAGTGAGGTTTCTTTTGACCCTCGCCCCCACCTCGGGAACGCGGTGGTTAGATCCTGCTCCACTATTCATAATAGTCCAGGCTCTGATGTCTCATCAGTCTTCATGATGCTTTAGGGCAAGTATCTAGCTTGCCTAAAACTGTCTCTGTAGCTTCCATCACAAAGGAATCATCTGGAAATGTTTGTTGACTGAATTCCTGACCAAGGGAAATGAAGACTCACTCTCTTCTGTGTACACTTATGCTTTGGGCTTAAGTTTTACAATGAACAAAAGCAATCAACAAGAGCACACAAATCAAAGCACAAAGTTAACAAAATGGTGTAAAAATAAAAGTGTATTCTAATTATTTCTCTTTCAAGGGAATCAGTAATTTCTTGAAGTGACAGAATTACAAGACATGGCTTGGAGTTGACAGTCCCTCTTAGAAGGCCAAGGTTGTGAGTTGTAATCTGTTTCTATTCAGAGGAGGCCATGCTTCCGCTGGGACGAGAACACATGGGATGGCTACACAGCCAGGCTGACTGTAGTCATTGCACGTACACACATCTTGGATCTCCCAAACCATATTAGATGAGTGACAAGGTCAACTCACTCACAAAGCTGGAGTGGCTGCCACACCAGACACGCCAGTGGTTCCTAGGAACAGAAAGAGTGCATCTTCTGGTGGATTTGCTATTGTTGCTTTGTTGCTGAGACTGAGGAACAATTGAGTTGTTTGTTGCAGCTAAGATGAAACCATTTGTAAGTGCTGATTTTAGTCTCAGTGTTTGAAAGACCTGTTGAATTTTCCCCACTAGAGGCCACAGAGGTACCAAGGAGGCCACACAGGAGCCTGACAAAGCTTGCACCTTGCAACTGCCCTCCAGCCCTCAATTTGTCTACCTTTATCCACAATAGTGCGTGCACACTGCAGTTTCACTTCTTTCTTCGTTCTGCTGAGATAATTGCACATTTGGGGAAGGGCATCTAAAACACCAGCAAGAAAACAAGAAAAGAGAAAGGCAATTCCTTAGGGTCCTTCTATTAATTTACGTCTGTATTCTGGAATACTTTCCCTGGGGCTCCTTGTTTTCTGTATTTACTCCTCAGGGTTGAAGTAATTGCATTTCTGATTTCTCTCATATGGGTGGCCAGAACTGGCTTAGTGGAACTATTTTAATACCTCAAAGGATTCTTTTATTCTGCCACGTTGGGTTTCTTTGTGTTGTTCATCCCTACTGCCCTTCTGTAAGCTCTTTGTCCCCACCCTTTTTCAAATTGTCCGCTGTTTGCACACAGTTTTCTTTCCACACTGGGAATTGTTTGCTGAGATGTCTCTGTTCTGCAAGCAAATGGGAGAGAGGCTGGCTCGGTGGAACTGAGTCTTCTCTGGGTCTGAGTGAACTTGGAGACAGCTTGAGTTATAAATTAATTTCTGGGTATCTTGCAGTACACTAGAACTCTGGAGGTACACACCATACCACATGTAGAGGTTTCCACAAAGCTGTGATTAAATCTCGGAAAACTACCCCTCTTTTGGGGATCCCCTCTGTGTGACTCACTTGCTGTCCTTTTGGTGGAATTATTGGTTTTTAAATGAGAAATAATTATTTTTTAGGGTAGACTTTCCAAAGTAGCAGTTTAACTGTGGTTGTTATCCTTCCTTAAAGGGACTTTCTTATTTGGGAAAGAGAAAGAAAAAAGGGGAATTCCACTAAAAAAAAAAAAAGTAGTCAAAGGAGAAAAGTGAGTTTGAAACACACTCATCAAAATTTGGAAGTAGGTACTACAATATCAACAAATCTCAATGCCATTTTAGATACTGGAGCATGATCATTGATTAATCTCTCTGGTTGCTTTGTCTGTGCCTATCTTTGAACACTGGTTCTATGGGAACAGTTGTCAAGGAAACCCGTATGTTGCGGTTCTTCTACGAGTTCACTCAGCGGGTCCCTGACTCTGCAGCATGGCTGTGTCGTGGGTTTTTTTTTATATATATATATATATATATAGCTTATTAGAGTTTTATCTTGATTAATATGAATAATCACCAGAGTCACTTGGTGACTTTGGGGAATTTTTACATGCACATATTTTATATATATATATATATATATATATATATATATATATATATATACACACACACACACACACACATACACACATATATATACACTATACACACACACACATACACACACATATATCTTGTGAGGAGGCATTGAAAAAAGTGAGGCTGTCATTTTGTTTAGCAGCTGGGTTTAAATTGATGTGCTTTCTAACAAAATTCACTAGTATTGTGCACAAATCACCAACCTCAAAGACTTTTACAAATGGCTTTAAAATAATGACCTAACAAAAGTATGAGTCATGGGCTGGGATTGTGGCTCAGCGGTAGAGCGCTCGCCTAGCACGGGCATGGGACCCGGGTTCGATTCTCAGCACCACATAAAAATAAAGGCATTGTGTTGTGTCCATTTACAAAAAAAAAAAAAAAAAAAAGTATGAGTCATGAAAACTGCCCAGATTTCAAGTCATAAAAACTACCCAGATTTTTAACTCTGTAAAGATGAAAACTGTGGTCTAAATATTATTCATAGGCCACATTTCCCTACAGATATCAATATAAAACTCAAGGATTAAGAGACTCCTCACCCTGTCAGTGTGAATCTCTAAATTGTTTGGATTCTTCCTGGGCTTACCCCATGACTTCTAGTGTAAGCGTTCCAAACAGATCATTTCTTATTCGTTTAGTTTGGCAAAAATCCATAAAAGTTTATTATTGACCCTATTCTGAATTTAACTATTCCCTAAGGCGTATTTTAAGCAAAATGAGGAACTTGGAAAAATTGTGTTTCCAATACAGTAAGAAAGTAGCAGATCAACTTTTCTAGCTCAGTAACTTCTGATACTGTGAGCTATTAAGTTCAAAGTCTAAATTAAATAGCTTTGTTTTAGCTTCAGTCATCCATCCGTTCACCCATCAATCCATACTCTATCCATCCTGTTCATCTATGCAACACTCACTTTGAGGAAGCCTCAGTAATGAAAATGAAAGACCCTATGGCACATGTGATTGAATTAACTACTTTCTTTGAGCTTTCTAGTGTTGTTAAGAAAGTGCCTTTCTCTGAACGCATGTGTACATGGATACACACACAGTTTCTTTCTGCACCTTTTGTTAGTGGCTATTCACTCTGCTGTTAACACAGCTCATCTCATGGTGACATCTACTGTATGGAGATAGTAGGATGTCATAAGAGAGGGCTGATTGTGTGCCTGTCCACCAAAGGTTTCTTCACTGGTTGGCATTTTGACATCACTATTGCAGACCTTGCCCTCAGCTCTGAAGGCTCAGAAGCATGCCTCTTGTCAGTTTTCCTTGAAGAGAGACTCACTGTAGCTTTGTTCCCAAGAGACTGAAAAGTAAATCAAAAGGGTATTAATTACAATGAAAAAATGCAACTGACATATCTGTTATAATACTTGGTGGGTTCTTATCCTACGAGAGAAATCAAATTATAATTCGAAAAGTGTGTGCTGAGCATGAACCAGAGCAAAGGAAATTTGAGTCTCTGTATCTACTGGCATTAGGTTCTGAGAGTCTGATCATCTAAGTCTATGGTAGAAATATATGGTACCTGGGACTGCACAGGCTTAACCATGGGCCAGATACACACTGCCTGTGCAGACCCCCCAGATTCTCATGGCTGGCCCTGCAGTCTACAATGTCTACCTTCTCTGCTTTATCCCTTATCCCCTAGGTACACCAATACCTGATAAAGTTGTAGCTACTTTACACATAAACAACCTGATTTCACCAGAGGCGATACCCTAATTAGTTTGATTGATAGTTACTGTTGGTTCCATCCTTACAAAATACATTTCTTTCTTTTTCCATTTTTTCTACAAGTTTAAATTGATACATTATAGCCATACAAAATGGTGAGATTTTTTGTTACATATTCATACACACAATATAATAATAAGATAATATAATTTGGCCAAAATCACTCCCCAGCATTTTACAGGATGCATATATACAGTTTTATTCTAAGAAGTATTCCATATTTTTAGTTTGAGGAAAAGGATTTCCCTGACTACAGCTTCTGTTTAGTATTCACCCTTTAGGTCTTATTGGTTGTTTTTGTTGTTGTTTTTTTTTTCTTGTTGTTGTTGTTGTTGTTGTTTTTGGTACTAGGGATTGAACCCAGGGACACTCAATCACTGAGCCACATCCCCAGTCCTTTTTGTATTTTATTTAGAGACAGGGTCTTGCTGAGTTGCTTAGGGCCTCACTAAATTGCTGAGGCTGGCTTTGAACTCTCAATCTTCCTGCCTCAGCCTCCTGACCCCCTGGGATTGCAGGTGTGCACCAGAGTTCGAGGCTTCTTGATTGTTTTTAAGATAATGCTTTGAGTTTCTGTTTTCAGCAGAAATCTAAGTCTGTCCATACTCTGGATCTGTACCACTTCCTGCAGCTTCTTCTAGTTGACACCCAGAGCCCTTAAAATCACCAGCCAAAGAGATAAGCATTTATGATCAAACAACATGCACTTCTATAATATACTGATGGTTACAATTGATCCCAAGCATGGCATAATGTACTCGTGGGATAGATAAGATTGCTCTGTTCAAGCCCATGAAGTATCCAAAAGTAGATACGCCACAGGCAGTGAAATGATTTAGGTAGATAAATCATAAGCTCCTTCTTATTTCCCTTAGTTCAATGCCTTTAATATGCACGTGACATTCAGGGAGTGAAAGTTTATTTTTAATTTCTCTTTAATTAAAACAAACATTTACTTATTAAACACCTATTGTATGACAGGTTTCATATTAGGCATTAAATGAAGAATTTAGAGAAATAATTTGTTTCTAATATAGCACAAAATTAGTAGATTAACTTTACTAGCTTGACAACTTTGTATTTATGGCTGTGGGTTATTAGGTAGGTTATGGAGATAAATACGACATAGTCCCCACCCTCAGAAAGCTTACCATCAGCTGGAAAAGAGAAAATATGCATATATTCCTTTACTACATATTTACTGAGAATTTATTATGTACCAGCCATCTAAAACCTGGGACTGTTTCCCCAGATCCCACTGTGCTGTTTCAGCTCTTGCTGGGACCTCTCCCTGAGAGAGCTGAAGAAGTAAGAGCAATTGGGCTAATTACTGAAGCGAGCATCTTGAGGAGACACATATCAAGGATACAGAAAGGAAGGCAAGAGACCCTGGTGAGATTTTAGGAGAGGGGTGTGGATCATCAGGGATGTAGATAAACATGTTAATAGTAGTGGGGACTGGAAGTTGAGCACAGAGGATCATTGGAAGGGGGTCATTTGTGCCCAACACAATGCTCCTCTAATGGGCAATTTTGGCCTAGGACTTCCCAGTGACCCAAATGAGAACTAAACTGCAATCAGGCTCTTCCTACCTAGTTCCTCCTTCCACCCCAAGTCAGGCATGCACCAGGCTCCAAAGCTCTTCCTGATTATTCCTGCTCCCCTGCCCTTGATCCTCACTGGCATTTCCCTAGATAAACCCTTTGTTTATCTAATTCCATCTTGGTGTCTCCCCAAACGGATACATCTTATGGGGAATGGAAGGATGGAAGGATTCCATGTGAGGCACCATATGACAGACGTAGCAGGAATGAGCATGGGACCTACAAGGCTAGATGCTGAGGGCTGGAGAATAGGATATTAGAACTTAATAGATCCGGAATTCAGCGCTTTGGGTGAGAGAGTCCAGAGAATGGCCATAATTGCTGAAGGGGAAAGGAAATGAAGGTCAGTGATATTGGACAGGAACTACATGGCAAGAATGCTAGCTGCTTACTCATTATGGATAGAACACTGCTTTTATTCAGAATAGCAATGGAGCCTGCTAAGAGAATATAATTAGCTTTCTTTGCAGTTGGAGATGAATAAAAATGTGTAAGTAAAAGTCATTGGATGGGGAGGGTGGGGGTTAAGGAAAAAATTTGAAGTGAAAATCACCAGGAAGTTGTGTTCATCTGCCATTTCTTCTCCTTTCTGCCAATTTAGACCATGAACTATTTTAAGGATGGAATCCAAGGCCAGGATGGTGGAGCAGAAAGACAGGAGTTCCTAATGACACGAAGTCACCATTTTAGCACTGATCTTCCTTAGCTTCTATACTGGTTTATATAAGAGATCTCTAAATTATTAAAACTACTTACCTGTATAGTTCATGTATAGTCGAACCAATTCTAACTGAGAGAGATAAATGGTTTGCACAGACACATCTTCTAGAGGTCAGAGTGGAAAGAAAGTGTGTAAGTAAGATGGTAAAGTGCTTAGCATAAGGGGGAATGTCCTGTAGGCTATGGATGAGAATCACAAGAGGGAGAGAGGAGTTATGTGAATGTGTACATTAGGGGAGGTCAGTCAAGAGAGAAGAGGGTTTTGAATAAGAGTGGAGAAGTGATGGTACCATTGGAAATATCAATGGGGGGGTGCCATTGGAAGCCTCAATGGGAGGCGCCAGTAAGATATACTTACCTCTTCTCTCTGGCCCCAGTGACTGTGGGGCATTGGAGACGAGATTCCTCTACCCTAGAAGGCTGAAATAGAAGTGTTTGTTTCCAATGGGAATCTTGGAAAACAATTGAAATGGACAGAGGAGCTCTATCAAGTGAAAGGGAGCGTTAGAGGGAATAGAGTATAAAAGAATATTGAATACAAATGTATGAAAAAATGTTCAACATCTCTAGCAATTAGAGAAACGCAAATAAAAACAACTCTGAGATTTCATCTCACTCCAGTCAGAATGGCAGCTACCAAGAATACAAATAACAATAAGTGTTGGCAAGGATGTGCGGGAAAAGGCACACTCATACATTGCTGGTGGGACTGAAATTGGTGCAGCCTATATGGAAAGCAGTATGAAGATTCCTTGGAAAACTTGGAATGGAACCACCATTTGACCCAGCTATCCCTCTCCTTGGTCTATACCCAAAGGACTTAAAAACAGCATACTACAGGGACACAGCCACATCAATATTTATAGCACCACAATTCACAATAGCTAAATTGTGGAACCAACCCAGATGCCCTTCAGTAGATGAATGGATAGAGAAACTTTTATATATATATACACAAAGGAATACTACTCACCATTAAAAGAGAATAAAATCATGGCATTTGCAGGTAAATGGATGGAGTTAGAGAATATTATGCTAAATGAAGTAAGCCAATCCCCCCCCAAAACAAAGGCTGAATGTTTTCTTTGATATGAGAATGCTGACTTATAATGGTGATGGGGTTGGGGAGTGTGGGAGGAATAGATGAACTTAGGATAGGACAAAGGGGAGAGAGGGGAAGGGAGGGGGCAAGGGAGTAGGAAAGATGGAGGAATGAGTTAGACATCATTACCCTAAGTACATGTATGAAGAAACAAATGGTGTGAAAATACTTTGTGTACAACCAGTGGCTTGAGAAATTGTGCTCTATATGTGTAATTTGAAATGAATTGCATTCTGCCATCATGTATAACAAATGAGAATGAATAAATAATTGAATAATATAAAAAAGAATATTGAAGTGAGAAGAGGGAAGAGGCTGCAGCCAGGACTGCAGGGTTGCCTGTGCAGAGATGGGAAGACTGGACAAAAGGCTTGGATGCCACTGTGATGGAGAGCCACCTTAACCCAGCCTCCTGGAGAGTCAGACCCAGGACCTGTGGAAGGCAGAGGGGAGTGGGGAGAGAGTAGCAGGGCCACTTGGGCTAGATAGGAAGATTTCCTAGAATCTTTCTGCTGTTAAGAGATAAATTTGTGCAAGGTAGCAAGAATGAGCTCTAGTGACAAATTTGATCCTGACTTGAATATGTGAATCCATGTGACTGCTCCATCAGATGTGGGAAGCAGGTTCCAAGATGAAGAACCTCGGAACCTGAAAGCTGCCTGGGGTTGGAGTGTCTGATAAATAGCATTTGCTTTACTGTGTGGGAACTGGAGATTTTTCTGCCTTCTTTGGCATTTCCTTATGATACCCCCCCACACACAAATAATCAAAAAGTCACCACAAATTATGGATCTGGAATTGGAGCAGGGGAACACCGAGTGAGAAACACTGGATTTCATTTATTGCATGAAAGAAACAAGAACTGATATGATAGGAATGAAACATGGTTTTTGAAATTCGAGATTATTCCAGCCATACTTCTCCTTCCCCATCTCCTTTCCTGTCCTGAAAATCTTTCGTGAAAAACAGGATCAAATATTCTGAACCACAAAGAAGATAAGTGATCCAATAATATGTATATTTTTCGTAACAGGCCAGAATCCTTGAAATTAGAATGACCCAAGAAAATACAGTCTGCATATTCCGATTCCCTGTGACATATTCTTTTTGCAAACTAAATTAATTTTGCTTTTAGGATTTTTGTGGCAGTCATTCCATTTTGGAAGAGTGAGAAAACATGTGGAGTGTTGCAGAAGTAAAAAAAAGAATTACGAACCTAGATATTTCCCAAAAGTGCATTAGACATCCCATGTCCCAACCTAAGCAACTGAGAATCATCTTCCACTTCATCTTCTCGTCTTCATTGCACAGATCAGGTTGGGGAGGCTGAATAGCCCGGCTTGCAGCTAACAAATCTGAACTCTAGAGTTAATGAATAGACTTTGAACTTTTCTGGTACTGTTTTTGTCTTCAATGACTTTGGACGTTTTCTTCCTATTGATTAGGATTAAATGTGTTTTCCTAAGGTCCTATTGAAAAAATCCAGAGCCTTGGGCTTCCTGTTACTGTCACTTCTTGTTCCCCACAGTCCAGCAGCTTCTCAACTCTCGCCAACCTTTACCTGTTTTCCTAGAATCCCTTCCACAGGCCCGGGTGCGCCAGGGCATGAGTATTGGATGATGCTACAGGAACTGTGGTCTCTGAGTTCCATTTCTTTGTTGGGTACGATCATGGGCAGGGCAGCTCTGGAGGGATCCAGGGACTTTTTCCTCCCCAAGTCAATATGTTAACTCTTGTGAAATTTTATTAAATGAATATCAAAGTGCATCAGTCATGGGCCTGACAGAGAGGAGACAGTGAGTGGAGTTTAGTAAGGCCAGGTGCTAATTGGTGTCACCGGGAAGCAGATGCCAGAATTGGAGTTAGAAACATGACTGATTTACCTGGGTGAAGGCTTGAGGAGAGTAAAAAATGGAGAGGAGGCAGGAAAGTCTTCAGTCTCTTGTGCAGATCTGATACCTGTGAAAGAAAGAAAAAACGAGAGGAAGCAGGTTTGAGAACAGGAGCTCAGACCCAATAGGGTCTAAGCCTGCACCATGGGGAGATGGAACTAAAAACTGCCAGTTAGAGGAGTCCCCACAATGGCCAGGCAAGAGTGGACAAAACACAGCAAAAAAATCATAAACTGATCTTGAAGGTTGAAGGTGGTGAGTGAACTGCAGCCTTACAGATGAATGACAGGCTTCTTTTTGAAAGAAGAATCAAGAGGTATCCCTGTGCAGTTGTGCCCGGGGCAACTCACAGGCACTTGGGTAGGGTGGAAAGCAACCCCAGCTGGTCAGAGAAAGGCCATCTCCCCAGTAGCCCAAGGGACAGAGAGGCAGGATAGCAAGTGACTGTTGAGGGACAGATCAGCTTTGGGGAGGGAAGGAGGCACAAACCCCCACACCTTACTTTCCTTCCTCCACTCACCTCTGTTCTCACCAGCCCATTGGTACCGTGCATGGTGCTCAGCCTTTCTGGGCAGTGAGCCAGGTAGAGGGAAACCAAACACCGCCATCAGGCAGGGCAGCCACTAAGGGAGAGACATGCAGCTGGGAGAAGGCGCGAGGCAGGAAAAGATGTTTCTTTGCCCTGCTGGGCTTCCCCAGATGTTAGCATCCCGGAGTCATGGCCGGGCTTCTAGAGATTGCTCTCCACCCACTGAGCAGCTCCTCTTGCCAAGGTAAGGGGCTCAGGAACAAGTAACATAGAATATTGGAGGTGACTACGGGAAGAGGGCAGGGGAGGAAGTGAGATAGGAAAGGGGCAAGGGAGACAGAATTAAGAGGAGGAAGTGGAGAGGGGAGAGGGGAGCGGAAGGGAGAATGGACTAGTGGAGACACCTAGAAACAGGGCTCACTCAGAACTGCCCAGACACCATGCTTGGGTATACTTTCCTAGACCCTACATCAGAGGGTGGGAGGTGATAAGGGGACCAGAATCTGAAGCCAGTGACTCTCACCAGATGAGCCATGTACCTGTCTGTGCAGTCTAGGTTTTCCTCATTTGCCCGTCTTTCGAAGATCTTGGTCTGGTCGCTGTCCTCTGAAGCCATCTGCACGCTGCCCCCTCACCCTGGGGCATATCACTTCTTTCAGAGGGCTCCCCTCCCTCTCAGCTCACTTTCTCCAGCTTCTGGAGGTGTTTATCTTGTGATGCTATTTCACAGGCATCCAGAGCCACAGGAAACATTAGTTCTACTGCGGAAGAGTGGACAGCGCTGGGCCAATTACTTCTGGCAGCAGTTAAGATAATTTTTTAATGATACAAACAGACCTCAGCCAGTGGAGTGCAAAACAGGCCTGCTGGAGCTGAACCTGGAGCTCACAGAGGGTTTCTCTAACTTAGTTTGATTGAGTGAGACATTTGATTTGGGCTTCTATTAAGGGGAATAAGGTATTAAATTGTTGTGTTGATGCTTGGCCTACTTTCAGTGAGAGAATGTAACTCTTTTTGTCTGTAACATAGACCATATCTCTATCCCACCACCTATTTTATAAGTCCAGGGCCAATTTCTTAAGTGAAGCCTTAGGACTTATAAAGTCACTGATTTTTCTACAACACTTGTACAAATTATTGTGAAAAATGTGCAAATAATGTGATTGTATTCAGACAGTGAGGTGGGAGATGGGGAAGTTTAGTTCCTTTTCATGTAAATTTGCTTTCTTCTTAAGGGTTAGGTTGACACCCATTTCCCTGACATTCTTAGTTCTATGCCTCTGCCAGGAGAGGAGCTAAGTAAATTCTTGTTGATGGTTATGAAGAAAGGCAAGGTGTTCCCTAGTATTGTTTTTTGTGGGGAAGTTGACATGGTGCTGGTTCTGTAAGGCAGCCCTTTCCTCACATCTGGGGAGAAGTAATATAGCGCAAGATGCAGAGAAAGAACCAGCTGAGCTGTCACTTCAAAGGGTGGAACAAGTTGGGGTGTATTGTTTGCTTTTGTTCTCCCATAGCGTTGTCTGGCATTTGGACATTTCTATATTGTAATTTTAGTCTATGAAACAGTACAGGAAAGTCCAAAAAAGACCTTCTTATTTCTAGGCCTGTACGCATTTGCTAACAGCTGCGGTAACATATACCACAGACTGGGAGACTAAAACAGCAGGAATTTAGCTTTTTTTGATTCTAGAGGCTGGAGATCAGAGCTGGTTTCTGAGGCCGCTCTTGATGGCTTACAGATGACATCTTCTCTCTGTGACTTCACACAGGCTTCCCTCCTTGTCTGGGTCTCAATCTTCCCTTCTTACAAAAGGACAATAGTCAGATTGGATTAGAGCTGCTCTCGTGACCTCATTACCTTTTTAAAGGCCTTATCTCCCAATCAAGTCACATTGAAGGACTAGGGGTTAGGATTTCAGCACAAGAATTTGGGGGAACAAAATTCAACCTATAATACTATCCTTGCCTGTTTCACTTTAGCATAGTCTCATTCTTGAGGCTTAGTGGGTCACCTGTCTGGGGCAAAGGGCAGCCTTTTTATCCTGATCATCTCCACGTGGCCCTGTGATGCACAAGCCCGAGAGTTAGGTATGCCCTGAATTCTCCAGCACTTGTGCTTCTTAAAAGTTGTGTGAAGACTTTTATAAGTTGAGGCATGCTTTCATTATGAAAGCAAATTTGCAATAACCACTTCTGTATGATCAAGAATATCTTCTAATTTATTGACTTTTGTAAGTTTGGATATCTAGGGCAACAATTTTCTAAAAGCAGGGCCTACCTGTTCTCATAAACAGTAAAACCTCAACAAAAATGTTTCAAGGTCCTGCTGTGTGGTTGTCTATCTCCTGAAAATTCAGGATACAACTGTACATAAGACAAGCATGGGGCCCTTCCTGCCTGGGGTTTTGCATCAAATCAGGAAACAAAAGATTAGACACAGCAATGATAAATCGCTGAATTGAGTGTCCTTCTGCATCTTTGAGTTGCATCCGGGCACTCTGCATCTGCCCAGGACATATTTAGTAAATACTCCCTCTTCCAAGGTCCCATGGTGTGGGCTGAGAAAACACTAGTGAGACCCTCAAGGTCCACATGGCTCTTAAATGTGATTGTAGGACAGAATGCTTGCCTAGCATGCACGAGGCCCAGCACTGCCCCACGTCTCCCTACACAAAAAGTGAGGTGTGAATTCACAGCATATTGTTTCATAGATGCAGCCAAAACTAGCTATAGTTAAGAAAAATATCTTTCTGATAAAATTTTTCTCCTTCCCTCCTGTCTTTTTTTTTAAAGAGAGAGAGAAAGAGAGAGAGAGAGAGAGAGAGAGAACTTTATTTTTTAGTTTTCGGCGGACACAACATCTTTGTTTGTATGTGGTGCTGAGGATCGAACCCGGGCCGCACGCATGCCAGGCGAGTGCGCTACCGCTTGAGCCACATCCCCAGCCCCCCTTCCTGTCTTCTTTCCTTCCTTCCTTTGTTATTATTTTGTCTCAAAGTAGTATGCTAAGCAAAATTTCAGAAATTTTTGCTGTTGTTTACAGATTGATTTGCTAGGGTTCTACAGTACATTTGATTTCCTTTTTGATGCAAAATAAATGCTCAAAATGTGCTGCAATTGGTGGCCTTTGTAACAAAGGATTTTCTTCTCATTTAGAAATAACCCTAAGTGTGGTATATCCATAAGCCACCAGCATTTGTCTATTTAGAGCTGAAAGCCAAGTGAGATGGGGGGTTGCAAAAAAAAAAAAAAAAAAGGATAAATATGCATATGTTCAAAAGAGTAATTACATTTTTACACCTACTTAAGCTGTGCTAATTTCTCTTTCTCCTTTCTGTTTGGCATTACTAAATTTAAAGCACTTGGGGAAATAACTGAGGTTACAACAGAAGACATTGTATCAATCAGATTAACAAAGGCAAGTTTATTATGGAGGTTTTAATTATCTCTGAGCTGTGTGGGCCCTCAGGCGATTTCTAACATAGAGGGTGGAACTTTGGTAGCCAAATCATTATGGCACGTGATGGTGACTGATGATGCAAGTTATTATTTCCCAGCATTATAATGTTGCAACTTTCTGGACACAGAAATGCTCATTATTAAGGACATCTTTCAGATGAAAATGTAAAAAAACTATTTTAAAACAATAGGAAGCCAAAAAAAAAAAAAAAAAAAAAAAAAAAGCTACAGTGTTTATAAGTACCTAGCCATCAAAATGACATGCTGGAAATATCAAGCAGCTAAGCAGCTTCATGATGATATCTCTACCAACAGCTCATTAAGTAAAGATAGACTTCAAAATAGGGCCAGTTTGTGGAACAGTGCTCTGACTTCAAGTCTTTCTTTTTTTGTTTGTTTGTTTTTTATTTTATAGGGATACGAAACTAGGCTAGTTTTATAGGGATACAAAGCTAGGCTAGTTTCTGGCCAAGTCTTTTGCTTGGATAAAGCAGAATCTAAGCTTGCTTGCTGTGGTGGTTGTTTGGTTGTCAACCTGACCAGATTGAGGAAAAATTAGTACTGAGAAGTGGAGTGGTCTGCTGTTATCCTATAACTGACAATGTGGAAGAGGTTTTGGAATTGAGTTACAGAAGAAATTTGGAGAAGTTTGGAGAAGACCCCATTCAGTGTGCAGCCTTCCTGCCCATTGCCCCACTGAACCTCCATTACCTCCCTATATGAAAGTCCTTTTGTGTGCCTGAGTTCCCCAAAATGGTCTTTTCTGGAGGAATGATAGCTCCCTCATTGTCTCAAGATTTCAGCCCTTGAATCAACTAGATTTCCTTCCCATCGACTCTTGTCTTCTGAGTATTGGCTTTTGGGCAGTGAGTGGACAAGCTTAAGACTGATAATAAGACCAGAAGGCTGATGGGAATATGGACAGTAAAGGTCGTGCTGATGAGGTGTCAGTTGAAAATGAGAATTATATTGGAAATTGGACTAGAGGCCAACATTGTTAAACTGTGGCGAGGAATTTTCCTACATTTTGTCCATGCCCTAAGATTTTATGGAAAGCTGAGCTTAAAGGTGACAGAATAATTTATTCAGCAGAAGGAAATTTCAAAGCAGCACAGCATTCAGGCTGTGACATATTACAGGCTGCTTTGTAGTCAGAGTTACAGTGAGAATCAGAAAGAAAAAGGAGCAGAACAGATGTATTAGAAATATTTTGCAGGAAAGAAGAAAAGAAGTACATATAAGGTTTATATATATATATATATATATATATATATATATATATATATATATCACACACACACATACATATACATATATACTTCAGAAAAAAAGTACATATGAGTTTTTGATCCAGGAGGGTGTGGTTAAAAAGTAAAGTTCTTCGCACAAGAACAATAGGAAAGATGCTTCGAGGGCATCTCAAGTATGGACAAGACTATAGCCATCACAGACTCAGAGCTATAGAATGCAAATTTGTTTCAAGGATTTTTCCAAAGCCAATTCTTTTGAGAAACTAGCTCAGGACAGACATTCTGTTAATCCGAAAGCACACAAGGAATTATTTCCCATGTCCAGCTGACTTATAGTGCTGGTTTTGCAGGCATGCTGAAGTCAAGAGTTATGGGATCATGGAGGCTTCTATCAAGATTTCAAAGGAGAGCCCAGGAGGCCAGGCTGTGCCCTGCTCTGAATTACTCTTTGATGTATAGAACAGCGGTTTTCAGGCTGTGCCTAAGCCTGAGTTACTCCATTTTGTAAGCAGTAGTTTGCCATAAGCTACTCCATTTTGAGTCCAAGTGCCAAGGTAGAATGACTCCACACTTTGCACAAGGAAACAGCCACCATCTGCCTGGCACCATCATAAGGCATGAATTGATAAACCACTTGTATGTGCCAACTTTTCAAACTGAATCAAGGAGTATCTGGACACGTGGACATCCCAAATCATGTCAAGAACACCACACATGGAAACCTATCAAACTCGCCAGATGAGAACCCTACACTCGAGACACATAAAAGGAAGAATGACAGACTCAATAAAAGGAGTCTGGACATGGTAACACCTTGACCCTGTCACCCGGTCACTTATCACAGTCCTTGCCCAGGAACAAACCTCTGATTTCCTGTCCCTATAGAGCTTCATCAAAGTGTGGTTTCTCATGCCTGTTATGACCACACACAACCCACTCTAAGCTGAAAGCTCAAGCTGACACTCTGAGACTGAAACTGCCATCTGTCCAGACCTTCTGCTTTGACAACTCTGTGGAACTGGTTTGTTAAAATCCTTATCT